ATATATATATATATATATATGAACGTAAACTGGTGCATGGAGGGGATCTCACTCATTTTTCTTCTTCTGCTGTTTGGATTGGTTGATGTTGTTTGACTGCCAGGATGTATGTATGGTGTTGTTGAGTGGTTGTAAAGCATATGAATGTGAACTACAATGATGTAATTGAGTATGAAGTGGACATCTCAAGGTGAGATGATTGAAAGTGATGTGTGATGTGTGGGGTGTTGTTGTTGTTCGGTATAACTGTATGGAGCTTTGAACTGGTATGTTTATCCCTACACTGGAAGCACTGTTCATGCTCAAATAGAGCAGTGTAAGTGGTGAAAGTAGAGGGAGGTTCTCGTCTATAGTCTTAGAGTTTAGACATAGACAGATGGGAGATTTACCTTGCATAGTGTTGGGGAGTGTCAGCTGAACTATGCAAGTACAAAGACGACCAATAGTTCGACATTTATACCAATCCGGATGAGTCGTGTGAGTGTTTGAGTCATGGTTTAAAGTAGTATGCCTTGATTGTTCTTTATATGTAGCTAAGCACGATGATATTTATTGACTGAACTATATGATTACTACTTGTTTATCTAGCTCACCCTTGCTTTCTTTGTTGTGTGCTGCTTGTGTATGTTTTTCTTTGCGATGATCATCCACTTGGATGGGAGCAGCTGTTGTTGAGGAGGTTCCCTTGGAGCAAGAGTTGGAGGATGCTGATGATGCAGTATAGTATTTTTAAGATTTCTAAATTTAAGTTAGTGTTATTTTGAAGTACTCTAAACGATTTAAGTTTTAAGTTCTGTCCTTTTGTGGATGACTATAATATCAACTACTGACTTATTATTATTGTTCTCTCTATTGAAATGTGAACCCCTAAATTATATAATTGTAGTTATTATATATTTGAGATGCCCACAAAATAAACATTAAAATATTTACATCAAGAAATTTTTTTCTAGAAAGTCGCGCTGCTAAAAGAAAAAATTCTACTAAAAACTAAAATAATAAAAAGAAACAGCATATGATAAACCTCTTCTTCTTCCTTGAGTTATTAAGATACAATACTTATCATCAGTTTAGAAGCTGCGAAGGGGTAGCTAAATGGATAATGCAAAGCGCAATCCCACATAACTGGAAGAGATTATAATTCTCCTGTGTCAGAGGAGAAACTTCACCTCTCTCTGTAAAACCTTGCTGGCATGTTGATGCTGTTTCCATAACTGAACTCATCCACATCCTAGTTACATCATAATTCCCCGACAAGAAAACCCCCACCGAGTTCACTATTGTCCATGCTGCATCTGAGTACAGTTCCAAGCAATCTCTTAAGGCCCCCAAAGAAAAGCTACCAACGCTTGTGCTATTCAATAGCATCTCTATTGTTGCCACCGAGCTGCTCACATTCTCTAGTGCTAGCTCCATTGCAACCAACGCCAACCCTTCAAGATTTGCAGAGTGACTCACCGGAACTACCGGAAGAGAACTTGAGCATAGCCCGTAGCTCAATATGATAGATTGGTTCGCACATATTTCGCAGGTTTGCTCGATTATGTCCTTGGGCACTCTCCAGGTGGAGCTTGTTCCAAGAGAGAGTGTGGTGATAAACAAGGAAAAAAGGGTGAAAGAGAACAGCAGTAAAAATGGCCGAGACATCGTTGGTTTGGTATGGACTGAAAGTGGTGCGTCTATATGAAGTGTTACTCATGCATGCAAAGGTATGTATATATGGTTCATGTACGTGAAGGGATAGCAGGACATAGTGGAAATGTAGTGTCAAAACGGAAGTTTCCTTAACGGCTTTTTGGTTGTTGCTTAGTTATGAGAGAGTACTGTTTTAGCCTTTATATTGGTTAATTATTTAAGGGGAGTGTTTTCTGGATATGCAGCACTTTCAGCAGAAGTGGAATAGTACGGTTCGTTAGTAATTTCGTGGAACCATTTAGCTGCGGAAACTTCGTGGGGTCACATATACATGACAGATTCAGTACGGACGAAAGGTTCGGGCAACAACATACCTTTTTTTCATTAAACTCTATTTTAGAATTTTCAAATAGTTCTACAAATTACATTTTTATTCAAGGATAAAAGTAATGTTATCGTTTAAAATGTATACTGTTGTCGCATTCATTTTCGGAATTAAAAAAATTGAAGAGAATTTCTAAAAGTGCAAGTGTGGTATAGTCCTTAATTAAGTGTGTTCATATAAGTTCCTAAAATGTAGCCACTTTCCATAGTTTCGATTTATAAATATAGGCTAATATCCATACATGAAAACGGTTTAAATTAAATGAAGTGAAGGGCAAATTACACCTTTTTTAAAATTATTTGAAACTTCTAAATTTTAGAAATTATTATGTTAATAGCAAATAACCTTTTAATAATTTTCAATGGAGTAACTTTTTCTTTTAGTTATTTCTATAAAACTATCAATTAGTTTCTATCCGACGTAAACTAATTTCAAAGACCTGTCTTTTTAGTTTAGAAGTCAAATTAAAAGCAATTTAATTTATGGACCTAAGTTTTATAAAAAAAATTAACATAATTCAAAGACCTGTTTAGTTTAGAAATCAAATTAAACATAATTTAATTCATTAACCGATTTACTAAGTTAGACATGCTTTATATTATTATTAATGACGGGAAACATGACTTAACAATTCTTTTGGGTCTTCAACAACTTGTTTGACTCTTTGGGATTAATAATATATCAAGATCATTTTATGACTTGCACCCAAACATATTTTTCACTTGCAACATGTTTTATATTTCACTTATTTGATGTGTGTTTCTTTTTTATGCAATAAAAACAAACAAGTAACAAAGGACAATTTATAAGAGCTAGTTGTTCCTTGTTCAACTCATACTTTACAAGTTCTTTTAATTAGGTTTTTCTTTTTGAAAACCTTTTCAAAAAATATAGGTTTTTCAACATTTTTATTTTTTGACAGTTTCTCTAAGCAAATTTTCTAAAATGTCAATATCAAACATATGCTATTATACGACTAATATTCAATGTAAGACTCGTGAAAAATATTTATAATAGTAAATTTTAGCATTTTATTTGTAATAATAATTTTATGGATAGAAAAAAAAAATTAAATTTTTGGATATAAAATTATTGTAATTTTAGAGGTTCAAATTTTTTTACTTATTCAGAATTTTTAAGAAAAGTGAATAGTGAATAGTGAATAGTGAATAGTGAATAGTGAATAGTAAAAAGTGAATAGAAAAAAATATATATATATAAAAATTTGGAAGGATAAGAATTCCTACGTAGCATGGAAGGAGATGTGATAAGATTTATCAAGTTGTTCATTAAAATACTATTTTTAAAATAATATTAAAATAATAAATAATATTAAAAAATTAATGAATAGTAAAAAATTTTACCTATAAATAGAGATCAGAGGAATGGAGTTTTTGCACCAAGAAGTAGAGAGAAATTAGGAGAAGAGAAGAAATTAGGAAGTTTTTGGAGTAGGAAGAAATTTTAGAGTAGAGGTTCTGAAGAGTTTTCGGGGAAGCAAATTCAGAGCAAGAGAAGTCTGGAATAGAGGTAGGGGAGCTAACCTTTCTAAGCTTTTATGTTATGATATAGTACTGTTTTATTACTATTCATGTCTTGAAATTATGTGTGAATACTGTTAATGCTTACTATTTATTTATCTTGAATTTCTGTGTCAATATTATATGCTGTTATTTTGAATCTGTAAATAAGAAATTTGTTAAAACTAGTTGAGGAACACTTTGGCTAAGGAAAGACTTGGTACTTAAGTTGTCCATTGTGACGCACCTCTCTTTCCTGGAAGTCTACTCGACAAACTTTTAACTTAATTCTTGTTGAACAGATTATGTACTGTTAAATTATTATGCAATATATCTCGTTGGAATGAATTTATGTTATTGTGGTAGATACGAAATTGTGAATTTTAATTGTGATGATTGTAATTTATTATATTGGATTTGAATTTATGCATCCGAACATGATATGAGTATTATGGGGAGATTTCGTAATAGTATAATGTGAGTTGAGGAATGTGAGCATTGTATGAGTCTCGTGGAGAGATTCTGTATTGATGTGGTAATTGTGTATATGTTGATGTTGAGGGTCCTGTAGTTGGAGGTTATCCTGATACTCTAATAATCATCCAGTCTCAAGTAGAGAAGGATGAATTATGTGGTGAGAGGAGCAGGAGGTCCTGGTCTATGTGCCGGTTTTGGACATAGTGAGGGGACTAACCTTGTGAATGGTATGAAGTATTTTGGAAGTGTATTTGTAAGAAGAAGTAGAAGTCATCACAAGTGCATAACCTCCCGTGACCGCTCATCAACGTATCATCCGGATGAGTGTCTTTTTGGGTATTGTGGGATGAGTGTCTTTTTGGGTATTGTGG